TGTTCTAACAGGATGGTTGGCCTTTGGAATGGGTTGTCTTCGGATGTTGTTGAGGCAGTAAATTTGAGTTTAAAAGAAAGCTTGATAAGTACATGAATGATAAGGGCTGGCTTAAGTTTTTTTAACTTATTTATTAATAAGTTTTAGTTTAGAGGATTGGAGCTGTGATGGACCAATAGGGTCCTATTTTGTTCCAAAACATTATGCTACGTTAAACGTCTCGGAAATTTTGATATTGGCAGACGAGTTTTAATTCCAGTTTAGCACAGACCTATCTTTAAATGGGATATACCTTTAATGTTCAAGGCTGCCTACATCAGTGCTGCCCTCTCATTTACAATCAATGTTTGAATACATACAAACCTAAAATTGAGATTAAATATAATATCAAATTTAACCAAATATTAGTAGTTAATAACAACATAATCTTATATTTTCCTAACAAATTCAGTTATGCCATGTCATTACATATTTCTTTAAAACACAAACTTAAGAAATATATTAAGCTGTCAGAAATTAAAAGTAGCTGTATTAAGTACAAGCCGCACATTAGTTTTCTGTAAATTCCTTCTCTCTCTCTCCATCTTGATACATTCCTAAAATGAGAGTATCCACTAATTTAGGAATCTGTCTCCATACAATTAGGCCACACATAATGTTATAGATCTTACATCATATATTCTTTAAAGAGTAATGTATTATTATATTTTTTAATATTAAGATAATTTAAATGAAACAAATTTTATATCGTTCAATTCAACGACTTACAGAAAATTGTATTAAGATGGTGGGGGTTCTTCATTGCACCTAAAATATTCAAAAATAGGATTACAATTGTTTAGATAATACCGGAGCTAAGTAATGTACTGTACATCACGCAGCAGGATGCGCTTTTCCTTGCGTGTACACATTACACAGCAGGATGTGCCTTTCCTTGCATGTACGCATTACACAGCAGGACATACCTTTCCCTGCATGTACACATCACACAGCAGGACGTACCTTTCCTTGCATGTACACATCACACAGCAGGATGTGCCTTTCCTTGCATGTACACATTACACAGCAGGACGTACCTTTCCCTGCATGTACACATCACACAGCAGGACGTACCTTTCCTTGCATGTACACATTACACAGCAGGACATACCTTTCCTTGCATGTACACATCACAGCAGGATGTGCCTTTCCTTGGATGGAAAGTACGAAGTAAAAGTTGCAGTGAAAAGATATTATAATAAAGTGTACCAATGCACAACATACAGCAGGACATGCCTTTCTATGCATGTACATATTACACAACAGGACGTGCCTTTCCTTGCAAGGAAAATATGAAATAAAAGTTGCAGTGAGAAGAGATTATAATCATATTTGTTGGTTTACAAACTCACCAAAGTTCATTTACAGATCGAATTATTGCAAGTGCATAGCTAATTCTGCCTTAAAACCATCTCAAGAACTGAAACATATATCAATGTGTGGAGTATTATAGCCAAGTTTATTCAAAAACAGTTTCAAGCAATCTGAAGTTAATATTAGCCATCTAACTCTGAGCTAAAATGAATAACAAAACAATTTTATGGTAAAATGGCTTAAGTATACTGTTAAGACTTCTTTTAATAATATAAATTATTCTCTGTTTGGAAGGGCTGGCCGTGGTTAACTTGTTTATGTCTAAGCAGGCTGGTCTTCCACAAGAAGTGTTTTGGACAAAGATCACAAGGGAAATGAGAACGAACTGGAGAATGGATGTATCGGTGTCGCTCAAGTAGCCATCGTTTGGAAAAAGACTTTGAACACACTGAGCAGAAAAAGTTTGATGTGGAAGGAGGCTTCAAAACTAAAAAAAGAAAAAAATACTTGTGGATTTTATTTTTATTGCATTCAAGTTAATGTAGTATAATTTTTTTCTTTATGTTAACTTCAAAGTTTAGAACAATGTGCATAAAAAATGACCAAACATAGTGCTCCAATTCATAGTCTTTCATCATAGTCAAAATCTAAATTATATCCTGTAATTTATGTACGACATAAGGAATTCTACTTGTTTACTCTTACATTTTACTTTATCATAAGCCTTTAATTCTTGAATGCAACTAAACGTCTTTAGTGGCATGCGTGATGTAAAATACAAAATAAATACAAAGTCCATCATCTTGTATTCATTCTTACATGTGTTAAAAACAATGCTATAGAAACCAAAAAAAAAAGTAACACGACAGTGTAGGTTTAATATAATTTCAAATGACACGTTACATAACTCACATACATTCAATGGAAGAATCCAGTCTGAGCTAATTTTATCAAAAACGTTTATTAACCACAGCTGTATGTGTGTGTGTTTATATATATAGATATGGAGTGTGTTTGACAAACAGAGTACAAACTGCACATGGTTCACATTTCTTGTAAAAGTGTACAAACTACATGTGTACCATAGTTCTTGTAAACAGTGTACAAATTTCACATTGATCACAGTCATTGTAAACAATGTACAAACTACATGTGTATCACAGTTCTTGTTAACAGTGTACAAACTACATGTGTATCACAGTTCACTGTTTACTAGAACTGTGATCTGTGTGCAGTTTGTACACTGTTTACAAGTATAAACTGCACACAGATCACAGTTCTAGTAAACAGTGTACAAACTGCAAACAGATCACAGTTCTAGTAAACAGTGTACAAAGTGCACGTGTATCACAGTTCTTGTAACTAGTGTACAAACTGCAAACATATCACAGTTCTTGTACATAAATTGCTTAGACAGTGTACCAACTCCACACGGATCAAATTTTATGTAAACAGCTTACAAAGTGTACATGGATCACATGTGTAGTTATATATATATATATGTGTGTGTATGTGTGTGTGTGTGTGGCACAGACACAGTGTACAAGTACAAACAGTGAAGTGTAAATGCCAGGCCATATAAATGACTTAAGACTGGAGATCTTGCATTTCTGTTGCATAATGTTAAATTAACATTTGCATTTTCCTTTTATTCAGGTTTATTTGACTTTTTTATTGCTGTAGTTGCTTCTGCTCACACAGCATGTGTACTATGTAAAAGTTGTTAACAAAATAAATGTTAAAATCACAAATCTTTGTTTGTATTAGGATTCCATTAAGTAAAATCAATTTATTATAAAATCTTCAATACAGATGAGTCATAGAGGTTACAGAGCATTAGGAAAAATAAAGGAAGAACAATTCAGAGAGAAAGAAATATGGCCTACTGTGGCTTTCATACCAGTACGAAAGCATCATTACAGTATTACCACAACTTACAAGAAATACTTCAGTTTTATGTAAGTTATGTTTACTGGACTCTTAATATTCACTCTACGAAGTCACAGTAACAGAACATTTTTATGACTTCTGGTGATGGAACTTCAAGTGTTGCTGTAACAGGACATTTTTATGACTTCTAGTGATGGAACTTTAAGTGTTGCTGTAACAGGACATTTTTATGACTTTTGGTGATGGAACTTCAAGTGTTGCTGTAACAGGACATTTTTTATGACTTCTAGTGATGGAACTTCAAGTGTTACTGTAACAGGACATTTTTATGACTTCTAGCGATGGAACTTCAAGTGTTGCTGTAACAGGACATTTTTATGACTTCTGGTGATGGAACTTCAAGTGTTGCTGTAACAGGACATTTTTATGATTTCTGGTGATGGAACTTTAAGTGTTGCTGTAACAGGACATTTTTATGACTTCTAGCGATGGAACTTCAAGTGTTGCTGTAACAGGACATTTTTATGACTTCTGGTGATGGAACTTCAAGTG